CTGAAAGAAATGTATGTCATTATGGCGCATATTGCTTGCCTGCTGGATAACTTTGCACTCAGGAGAGTCCCTGAAAAGAAGTCTTCCAGGACACCGTAACTTAAGAGCAGTAACCACCATAGAGGCTGCAGCAAAGCTGGAGACACTGTGGGATTAGCAGGAGCTATAAAGGATATTAGGATGAAGCTATAAAGAATCAGAAGCAGGACATACTTTTCTGCTTTTTTTAACTGTGCACACATACATTACCCATGGCTGCACAGGGTCCTGTGGCAGCTCAGTCTTAGGGTTTGGGAACTCAACCAATAGCCAGGGTCTACACATGAACTGTGACAGCCATGCTTATCTGTTATATAAATGACTTCTAAAGAATTTGCTTTTTTTTTTTTTTTTTTTTTATTTTAGTCAATGGTTTATGCAGCATTAAAAATTTGTTTCTTCAATTGCCGTAACAGCTTTCAGGCCCATAAATCTTACAGCCATTGCACTACTCGTTGGAATCAAAATTTTGCAATTCTCTTAGTCACTGTTTGCAGCATTGTTTAAGAAAGGGAAAAAATAACCAATGGTGAATTATGAGTGCTTCTCTGGATGATCTAACCTGCTCTTTCATCAGTCTGTTTTGTCCATTTAGAAATATAAAATGTCACAGTGTGGTATTTTATATTTCCAGTGTAGAAAGATGTTCTCCATTGAGCTGAGGAATCAGAACATCATTTCCCTATACAGGCTATCCCACTTGAATTTCAGACACTTTTAGAGAACTTTGGGGCATTAGAATATAGATATTGCACTGAAAGAACTTCTAGGGTTTTGTGGGGTTTTTTTTGTTTCTCAAAATAAAGAATTAGTTAAAAGATGTCTGAATTCAGCATCAAAGCCATAGGCACCTTCTCTGATCTAGCAAATATGCCCAGACCCAAAAATCCCTATCATCTGTAATGGAGATCTTTAGTGGTTCCCAGGAAAGTAACATTGTTGTATGGTGGTTCAGGTTCAGAGCAAAGATCTGGAGTAAAAGGAGTCAGTTTTCATACATTTAATGTACAAAAAGCTAAACACTAAAAGCTGAGCACTGTTGTTTAAGCTAAACAACACTGGTTAGGGAAGGAGGGAAAGTTTGAGACTAGTAACAAGTAGCACATTATTTTTTTCTGTGCTTCCTCCTTTGCCTCACTCAGTTTACCATGAAATTTAACCACTGACTCCCACCACTCTTCTTCTTGGAGAAAACAGTAGGATGAAGAAACGGTGATTAATTGTGAAAGACAGCCATGCATTACATTTGGAGCTGCATTCCTTGTGCTTTGGAACAAAATTAAAAAGAGGTGATTCAGGTCTACTTAATCTTTAAAGTCTGAAATCATTCTCAATTACCACCATCTCTACCTCTGCTCCACATACAAATACAGACCTCATTAATAAAATGGGACTTTTTAAAGCTCTTTTAGTTCCAGTTGATAATTCTACTGCCATGACACTCGTCTTTAATGTTTGTTATGCTCCCATGTGTTGAACACATGCTTAGCAGCTCTCCCAACCATCAGGATTCATGTAATCACAGCAAAGCAGTCATCATCATAAATAAAGCAAACATGACAACTGAAACTACATATTTCCTTCTCATGGTAAACTGGGATGATGAACTGGAGCTCAATGCCATTCTTCACCTAACAGCAAAAGGCTTGAGCACGGTAGACCTAGACCATGAGTGTGCTTGGGAAATGGTTCATTTGGCCTTTTCATTCTCTTGTATTCTAAATCTTGGCTTAGTTCTCAATCCTGTGGTAGTCAACCACATTCATGAGTGATAGGGACCTTCATGATGACAATTCCACATCCTTTGCTTACAATTGTTTTTAGTTTCTATTTAGTTTGCACTTAAGCAGGTCACTGTCCGTGGTTGAGCCCTTCAAGGGAACTTGTTCTTTGCTCATGGTTGGAATGTGCTGTTGACCCTAGGTATGACAAACTGGCAGACCTTTTAAGGGACACAGTAATTCTTTATTTTAAAAGTGTACTTGTTCTTTGAGATTATTCCCGAATATAATTCTTTTTGAAGAGTATTGAAGGTAATTGAATGCCTTCAAACAAAACTGAATTTTTAAGTGTATGTATCCATATGGCACTGGAGTCAACATGTTCTGCTGGGTTTTTGTTGTGGCTGTCTTTTCTTTAGAGCACGTCACATTGCCATCCTATTTGCATCAAACATGACAGAAATAGAATTCTATCTCACTGTCAGTTCCATTAGCCTGAAATGCTGGATTCAGGTGTCTCAAAATTGCAGATAATGTCCTCTCCCTGACAGCCTTGATAGCTTCTGGCCTGGATGGAGAGCTATGTTAAATCCTACAGATAGTGACACTTGGCTAATAAAATAGTGAACATATTCATCTCCTTTGTGGATCATTTGTCCTTTGTCCTTTCCTTGGACATCTTAAATGTTCATGGGATAGTGGTAGCATTCTCTGAATCTCCTCACCTTGCCCTTCTCCTTCCATAAATCTGAGTGTGTGACTTCAAAAAACTGAAAAGTTGTCTTTAAGGTCTTTGTCCTACAGATCCAGGCATTGTCCATTTGCATTAAAAAAAAAGTAATTGCATAAAAATTCTATCATATTACAAGTGATAGAGCATTACAGATGAGGTGAGGTGAGAACTGGTTTAGTGAGCTTACCACCAAACAGGCCAGAAGATTCCAAGTTTGTTTTGGGTTGATGTTGTTATGGGCTTTTTCAAAAAAAATTTAAATGTTCAAAAATTCGTTTCTTGAACACCATGAAAATGAAAACAAAGCCTTTTCAACACTTCCATAGAGCTACTGTTTAGAGGCCTGATTTGAAGTCTCCTCTTCATGGTGAAAAAGCTACTTGTCTTCTTCCCCAAGTACTGACATTTGGAAACAAAGGAGCTTGAGTGTTACTCTGCTGGAAACAAAGCCAAAAACCTAATTGACTTGGTTGTCATCTTTCTGCCTGTGTCCTTCCTCAGTTTAACAGATAAGATAGGCTTTGTCACATTTTGATAAAATAAGCTTCAGGTCAGCTTTACTTGCAATCCTCTAAGTGACTCTCGGGACTCTGGGAACTGGTACCCAGCTTCTCTGGGTGGCTCCTGAGTTGCTGCATAGATAGCTGCATGGTTTTATTGCGTTTGGTGAATGCAAATGTGACAGTAATTAGAAGCATATCACTATTTCCCCTCCTTAGCAATTCAATAAGAATTTGTATATTACTTTATTCTGTGGGTTAACATCTTTATAGTCTTTACTAATGAATTTATTATTAGACTGTACTGTGTTTTAAAAGGTGTATTAGTGTGTGTGTATGCACATGCACCCCCAGAGTAAGTTTTGTGTCACAAATCAGATACTCCCCTCAGTTACACATTGCTTTTTTTAAACTGGAGTCATAAATATTTCTTTACCAGACAAAACCAATGTTTCAGGGCAATACACTTTATTTTGTATAGCTTCCTTCAAGCACATTGTGTCTCTAATGTGTTAGAGATAATTAACACACTTGCAAATTTTAAAATACTCTAAAAGGTTTTAATTTGATGGAAATTCTAAACAACACTATCAATATACATGCTCCTTAATTCACATGCATCATAAAGGTAAAAGGACAATTATGCCTATGCAGCTACTACATAATTTCTAGAATTTCTACATTCTTTTAATTATTGGTTTGGTGAACTCTGAGTGAGGAGGGATAGTTGGTACCTTTGTTCATTGATTTTGAGACCAGCACTGTGATTATTCTGTTTAAAAAACTATGTGTTCATGTTTGGACTGTTGTTGGTACAGTAGGAGGGACAAGGATTTTTGCTTGCTTTTTCTTTTTTTTTTTTAATCAAGTCTAGCTAATCCCAGTATGAAAGACAGCTCTACCATGAAACAGAAATTAGAATAATGAATCTCATTATCATGGTGCAACAGCTATATTTTATTAACATTTCACAATAGTACTGCTGAGTCCTCCTGGTGAAACACTCAAGCTGCCTGATGAACTCAGCAGACAGCTGCTCACCACCACACACTTGACTTGTTCCAGCAGACAGTTCCTGTAAGACACATCATTGTTTTGTGCAAAGATTTTTATTTTTTTTTTTAATTTGCTTGCATTTAAGGAAAAAAGCAGGTCTGAATTGTGATATTTTTCCTTTGCCTGCACTACGCAGATCTATCATACACAGGAGGGCAGCTTCTCTGCCGCTTGCAGTCTGACAGGTATCCCTGTTCTGGCCAGTTTGCAGTGCTGGATTTCACATCCCCACACAGGCTGGAGTGACCTGGAGAGCTTCACAAAATTACATGTGGGATTACTGATACTATTAGGCAAGCAATGTTTCTTTTCCCTTCCCAAGCCCACTATTTACTGTACACCCCTTTAACTAAGCACTTGTCCTTAGTAAGGGCTTAAAAAATGAAATAAATCGCCAGCATGGTTGTTTCATTTTTGTGATTCAAATGGATTTTACTGGAGCTATAAGGACAGAATGTAACTCAGATTACTCTAGAAGTATTGGTGGAACAGTCAAGGATCTGAAGAAACACCAGTCTCTTAGGAATGGCAGTCTAGCCTCCAGCCGCCTGGAAGCCTTGTAGCTACAGCAGTGGCTGGCAGCAGGGTTAGATGGGAGGAATGACCATTGCTCACACTCTGGGCCACTGGGCATCAGTAGGTTTTAATGTCAGATTTATGCCATGATATATAAAGACTCTTTGTCGGTTTTGGAGCAATCTTTGTAGCTTTGTAGTTTTCAACACCTGTGTGAAGACTAAGCAGGAGTGCAGATAAAAAGAGTTAGCTCAAGACACAGAGAATACAAGTTCTGTCACATGAACAGCTAGATTGCTCCCATCCTGTTCCAGCCACTGGAAGCCAAGGGCATTTTGTGATGCATAGAAATTCCTCATTTTTGTGTCATGTGTGAGTATAAATCCCACTTCATAACATACTATTCAGTTTTCTCTTCAAGATTTTTTTTAAAAGGGAAATATGATGAAGGACATGATAGTCCATTCCAAAATATTAGAATTTTGCAATCCACTCATAAATGGCATGAGAGAGCCAGTTCTCTACATACATAATTTACTACAAATTACTAAGTGGTGAGACTGAAAAAGCAAATGCCATTAACAGTCATATCTGTGCCATCCTGTTAAATTTAATTTTATGTAGCTAGGAACCTTAATTTCTTATCTGTTTTTTACTTTTTTTCTAAGAGACCATCATTATTTTATTGTGTCTTTCTACAGGATGGGAAACTACTTTTTTTTCCCCTACAGATTTGTAATATTAGCTATAAGCTAATGCTGTTTTCCATAATTCCAGTGGTCCATTCACATGGCTTGAAATATTCAGGTGTATCCTCATCTTTTAGAAAGGGAGAAGCCTGGAATATAAAGTTCTTTGATATCCTAGGGGCAAGAAGGCAATTTAAGCTTCCCAGAACAACTTCAAGAGCAATGACAGCTACCAGTGTTATTAGAGGAACATATTTTTTCAGAAGATCAACTGTAATGACCTTCATATCCTGGACTTAGATTTGGAGGTTGTTGACACAACCTTATTAACACAGACAAATGTCTCCATCTTTACTTTTAATTTAACAACACTATAATGCACAAATGCTGCAGTTACTGAGACAAAGAACAGCAGGACTGATTAATTTTCACATAACAGTTCCATTGACAAGGGAAGATGTTCACAAGTGTTCAGGAAAGCTCTGGGCATGGAATGATTAAAACTAAAAGAAAAAATATTCCAGTGAATATAGTCAAAAAGCAGTTCTTTAATTTTTACATTTGCACAGCAATAACAGAGACAAATGAGCCTCTGAAATATTTTGGAAAATGTCACTTTGCAAATCTTGTAGATTGCTTAAATGTTTATTAAAATGGACCAAAAGCCAAAATTCTCTGTGTAAAATAAATACTTTGTCTTTGCTAAGTAACAATATTTGTGAACAAAACATAAAACTGTAATTTTCATGTGTCAAACATAGTAACATTTAAGATTAAATGTTGGAGTCAGACTTGGCATTTTTTTTTCATCTTCCTATTTACAAGCTTCTCATTAAGACCATTTACCTCACATAAGCTATCAAAATGACTAACATTTTTAAAGTTTGCTCCATGACTAAAATTAAAACAACAGAAATGTCCTTTTACCATAACTTAACAAAAAGCAGAACCATACTTTTATCATCTAGGAGAACATGCTGTTATAAATACAGCTGGTTTTCATCTACAATTATATAAATAACAAGCATGCTGCCATTCACAAGGATTTTAATAGATGATTATATATAAGCAATATCATGGTCTCGAAGAGGATGGCATGAGTTTTTATCTTTCATTTTTATTGTACTTATTTAGGACCTTTGTCTTCATCTGAAAATTGTGGAACAGACTTCTTTGCTACAACATTATCCAGTCGCTGTCCTTGCAGATACGGGTTCACACTCTGAAAAAGTTTAAAATTATTTAAACTTATTAGAAACAGGGAAACAGATAAAAGGTAAACTAGGATTAGTGAACACATTTATGTATTTCTTATCTGTCAGATATTTACAGACTTGGGAAAAAACTGCTTCCAGGGATTAAATCTAAAAGTCAATCAGTGTTTTGTATGTAATAATTATTTTTTGTGCAAGAATTTAATTCAATCCACTGAAACAAACACATGTGAAGGAGGACTATCAGGAATATAAAACGATCTGAATTAAACGCTGTCTTTTTGCTCCACTCCTCCTTTCCTCAGAATTGCTGCTGCTTCTCTGCTGGGCTAACTCCCTAATTCTTGAGGCAGGACAGAACTTGTTAGAGAAGTACAGGCAAGCTTTGGCTCAAATCACTAGCCCCTGATGGACATTGTGCTGGGGTACAAACTAGAGACCACAATACCATTTTGACCAAAGCCTCTTGTTCAGCCTGTCTCCTCTCCAGGAAACCCCTCCTTGCTTCCTCTCTTGATGCTGAGATAAAAAACTGCTGGCAAAGAAGCAGAGCCAAACAAGGGTTTGGCATAGAAAATGGCTCTCACAGCACTGCCAGAAAAAGGGAATGCTGGAAAGAAGATTCCTGGAGAGGGTTTAACTTCACTTTACACCATGCAAGCAGCACAATGTGAGGCTGAAGATGAACAGATCCTGTCTCAAAACTGCTTGGAGATCATAGATGGAGTAACGTAGAAAGCCTGGGCTTGAATTTTATCTGTACCACTGGAGTAAAATGTATTTGCAAGTGGCAAGCATTCAGTATTAAGTATCATTTACACCTGCTTTCTGGCCTGTCACAGTGTCAGTGTAAGCAAAATTCAAGTGTATATTGTCTCCTTCACACAGCTAAAATCAAAAATTCTAGCATGAAGGTTTTTGATGCTAATAAAAACTCTTTGCCTAAGGACAAACTTCAGAGGAATGCAAATTTTCCAGTATCTCCTGATTCTTGTCAGGCTGACTGTGTCACAGAAATTACTTTTCTTGAAATATTTCTGTGCTTCTTTCACCAAAACTTCAGAGTAAAAAAAAAAAAAAAAAGAAGAAGAAAAAAAAAGGCATTCAAAATGGGCATGAAATATTTCTTTTCACTTTTCAGCTATCCCAAGTATTTGTTGAATCTCTGGAAAACATTTGGGGTTTATCTGTCTTCAAGTTTAAGCCCTTGGGTTTCTCCAGATTTGTGGAAGCTATCATTAATACTTAGTCATAGCACAGAGCAGCCCTTTTGCTTCCTTCTGTTGGGTTTTGGGTGTTTTGCCTGCTGCAAGTGAAAACATAAAAATATTAAAAACCAGAAATGAATGTGGAAAAATCTTTGAAAATAAACTAACTCCAATGGTTTAAATTGTTAGAAATAAGATGTATGTAAATTGGTTGTTTGTGTTTGTTTAAAGAAGTTCTGTTTAATGTTAATTTAGTGAAATTCAACTGTTGCATAAACTTCTAGGAATTATTTGAAGATTCCTGGGAAGATTAATTGGTCCTTTTTTGGAATGCTACTTGCTTGCTACTTTTTGAAATAAAGTAGAGGAGAATGAGACTACACAAAATTTTGAATCCTTCCTAACCAGCAACAGAAGACACAAAATATAATGCAAAATACTTTGGCTGATTTGACTAAAATATGTTTAATCCCATGCAGCTGTGCAGAATTCAAAGTAATGCAAGTTCCCGAGCACCTCTGCACACAGCTCTGAGCCCGTGGCAAACTTAGTGATCACAGAAGTGGTCCTGACACTTCTGGACAGGGCTGCCTGCAAGCACAGAATTGTAAAAAAGGGGAGAATTAGAATTAGATGTCACTGTAAACCTCCTTGCAGTGCAAGTGCTGCAGAGAAGCCAGCACAGCAGCAGGTGGTGGGTACAGCCCTCTGCTCTGCACGCTGGCTGTGTGTGCACGCTCAGGTGTGCTTCCAGAGGCACACACAGAGGCACAAATGTGATACAGACACACAAATATGTGCACTTGCTCAGATGCACTTTTCTAGACACCAGCAGCACCTCTGTGGCTGGGTCACTGTGTCCCTGGACAGACACAGCAGGGTTACCACCTACACTGTTACACAGCACTTGTTTTACCTCAGATGAGGACGCTCAGATGTAAAAAAATCAATCTGTTGCCAGATCCCAAAACTGTGTCTGGGCAGAAAGGGATGGAGAAGTGGCAGGGAGCACAAAAGGCAGGAGGGGAATCCAGTGGGCTTTTTTGATTTCTAGGAAAACACACTCTGCTGCTGACAGAGTTCTAGTTTACTCTTCTGCTGATAAAGTGGAAATTTTTGTTGTTCATTAAAGCATTATTAATCATTACAGTATTACCCTAAAATAATTTAAATTCCAATGAATTTAGCATTAAGTGGCATGTTGATGCTAGGAAAATAAGCCTGCTGTAAAGCAATTCACCTTCAAAATTCTGGGCTACCCCTGGCCATGGGACTGTCAAGTGTCTCCAGCCAGTACTTCTTTTGTATCCAGTTACGTCAGTCAGCTCACAGAAAGAAAATGTCTTTTTTTTCTTTTGTCCCCTCATGTATATGTTGCATGAATTCCACTTTAACATGCTGTTCTAGCTATTAGTAAATATTCTGCTAAACTATTTCCAGAGTAAATTCTACTTACTTAAAAACTACCTTAAGAAAAAGGGTGCCTACCCGTTTTCCCTTTTCAACTAAGAAACTCAAAAATCAAATGTAAGCATGAAGCAGATACTAAGCTCAGGTCAGATCTTTAACTTATGGTTGAAGTGTAAATTGCCAGTGATGTCTGAATCAGAAAGAAATCAACTCATCTTCTCCCTTTCTAGCAAAGACTTAAAGTTTGAGAGTTAATAAATAAATCATCTTCACTTATGCTTGTTATTTTAAATTACATTTACTTCATTTACAGTATCAACTG